TGAGGATCGAACCCGGGCCGCACGCATGCCAGGCGAGCGCGCTACCGCTGAGCCACACCCCCAGCCCTGTCATTTTTTTCAAAACGTTTTTTTAGTTTTTAGTTYTGTCCATTTGGTATCAGTTTATCAGATCAAATTACTTGTGAGTATATTCCCCCTGAATTGTTTTCTCATTTGCAGCATTAACACAATGTTAATAAATCTTTCTGTGGTGGAATTAATGRGAAATCCATCCATTCCAGAACTTGTTTCAGAGGATCAAAATTTAAAATCATAAATTGCACATTTGGGCTGTCTGTGTGGTCCTTGACTGGGCAAAGGACTTCAATTTGATATTCTAGAAATTTGTCAACTCTTGTCTGAATCTGCATAATTAATATTATGTCTCTCTCTATCAATCTGAAATGGCTACTTTTCCCTAAAATTCAATAGTAATTTAACACAAACTACTACTCSAGTGACTTGGTGATTTTTAGGGAAATACAGCAAAATGCAGGCTGTAGTAAGTGCATGCACCCCACCGGGGAGACAGCCTTCATGGGGTTTCTCTAGCATGCTCACTTGCCAATTCCCTGCGTCTCCGACCTCTCTTTACATAGAGTACCTCGGCAAGGTATTTCCCTCAATGTAAACTGCTCTTAAAATAATCAGTTTTTTAATTTAGTGACCAGTCTTGTTAAATTTGTGTATTTACCAAAAACCACAGGATTGGAGTCTCACCTTCAGGGCCAGTCAGCAATGGCTGCTCCACAGTGAAGTATAATGGCCACCTTGCCATTCAGCCGTTGTGGGTTTAAGATTGTTAAGGCACCTTCAAATGTCTCATTTTTTCTAGGTTGTCAGTAATCACTGTCACATAATTTTTGAGGCACTGGAACACACCTGAACTAAGAATTATTTCATTCTACCCTTTATACTCACTTAAAATCAGGCATCCCATCAAAAACAAATAAGTACCTGGATTGAAACTCTTGTACTTCCCCCAACAAGGTCAGAAACAGGGAAGAGGGGGAAAAAACAAAACAAAACAAAAAAAAAACATTGACTAAGGTATGGAGTTGGGAAAGTGAAAAAAGAACACTTTTTATGTAGACATTAGCTTTTTATAAATATTGTAACTGGTGAGTATAAAATACAAAAGGTATATAGTTAGAATATTTTCTTTTAAAACTGCTAATCTTTAAAAATATAACTGCTGCTAAAAATAAGAGCTCTTATTTCAGGAAAATTGGTGCTGTTTAGAAAAGGAGATCTTGTGCCATAAATGCAGCTGAACTAAATATAAACATTAGTTCACACATTAATGCTGTCAACGGAAGGAGTAAGGTAGAAAAACTTAACCAGTGACATCTTTTCCTAAATTATGTAGTATGATCACATGTGATCATCCAGAATTTTTATTTTTCTTTGTTCAGATCACAAGTTCCTCAGCAACTTAGGGAGCCCCGGTCTTAAAATTTTTAAAATGGAGGACTAAAGTTATAGCTCTGTGATACAGTGTTTCTGGGTTCAGGAGTAAAATGCACTCTGCACGTGCATCCTGGACTGGGGACTCCCTCGTGCCACCCCATCTTGGAGGGCCACCACACACCAAGGTGCTGGGCCTCAGAGGGCTCCCTTAGATGGTAGCTCCTACTAACTCTGGCAGCTGGAATACTCTGGGGGAAAGAATGAACAAACAAGCTCGTTGGTGCTGTGCAGCGGTCAGAGCCCTACCTCACCCCGCTGGGCAGGCCATTCCTCTCACTGCCGGTTTCCCTGCTCCTAACTGAAGCACAGTGCCCACTCAGGCATCTATCCCAGAAGACCCTGCATCAGGGCAGAGGGGCTGACGTGTGGCTACACTGCTGCACCAGAGGACAACTCTGCAAGAGCCTTGGTCTTCCTGCCCTGCTGCCCCACCCACAACTGCCCTACCCTGACTAGAGTGGGTCTCAGGAAGCCCAGGTCCATTTCCTCCTGGGGAGTCCCCTCAGACCAACATAAGCAGTCTAGGAATCCAGGTGCAAGAAGGGGGCTGTTTTCCTGGGTCAAGCCAGGGATACTGGCAAGCCAGCTGACCCACCTGTCCTCTTCTGCATGGCATGGCTGGCCAGCTCTCCATCCCCATCCCCCTCCCCCTCCCAGCACCCTGGCCTGAGTGGGGAGAGAGAGGATGTTCCAGACACCAAGAGGTCAGGGCACACTTGGCAAAAAGTAGAAGACCCTAACTCATGTCACCACAAGACACTCTTATTCCACTCCAAGGCTCCAAGGTCATACACGCTTTCAGCAACATCCACATAAGGGAGACATCAGGGAGCAGGGGTGTCACAGGCCATCCTAGAGCCTGCATCACGACCCCTATGGGTGGCCCTCTTGGAGACCCTGGCTGGCATGGATGCTGTAGCAAGCACCCATGACAGTCATCTGTCCCCTCA